CAAGCGCATCATGAGCGTGGAATGTAGTCACGTTCTTGCATGACACGCATGTCATGATTATCATGATTGTACCAGTCATATGCCTTCATCATTCATTCGCGTCACGTATTAACAAATTGGGTGTATGTTAAGCTAGCGAAATGACCGCGAGCGCATGATGAGCATGGCATGTAGTCATGTTCTTACATGACACGCATGCTATGATTTCCACGTGAGGGCCTGTCACTTATGTTTGCAATACAGTCATGTCATACGTTACCAGTTTAGCGATAGGTCATGTGAACGAAACGACCACAGGAGCGGCAAGACGCTCTCATGTAAATCATGACTTTCATAACATACATGTCATGACTTTCACGTTATGACTAGTCACTTATGCCCGCCACACCGGCATATTATGCCATACCGATTTGGTTATAGCTCCCATTATCCAAACGCCCCGGTGAGCTAAAAGTCGTAGATAGATAGATAGATAGATAGATAGATAGATAGATAGATAGATAGATAGATAGATAGATAGATAGATAGATAGATAGATAGATAGATAGATAGATAGATAGATAGATAGATAGATAGATAGATAGATAGATAGATAGATAGATACGGTTGAACTCGCTGAAGTTCGCTAAGAAATGCTTTGCCTTTAAAAAGGAAAACTCTATTCGAAGTCGATTAGTTTCTATATTTACATGCTATACCGACCTAAAGAAACGGCGTAGAGAGACAGCCTTCTACAGTTTACCAAAAATACATTGAGGAACAATGAGCCGAAGGTATAGTTGTTATTCGATAAACTACGTGGTTTTCCGTAAGAAACATTTGTTCACATTGTATTGTATGGTATTGTTGGCCAAAACTACATTGTGTATTGCTGAGCTGGAGTTATAGTTGGTTTTCAATGAAATACGCATTTTTTTCGTAAAAATCCTTTGTTGACTTTGTATTGTATGAAGTGCTTCTTTATGCAATTCATTATATTTGCCTCACTGACAGTAGAAGTTTTGGCATGTAACTAGTAAGTAACGGCGGCGTTACGAGCAGTACACAGTCTTTTCTGGGTAAAAGTGCAGCCGAAAAGAAAGCTGTTTCTTCTGTACACAATTTTCTGAAAATCTGAAAACTTCCGGGCACAATGAAAGATAATACAAATGAAACATTTGTGAACGTGAGGTGTCGCTAGAATCCGTGTATTTTTAAGAGCTTCTGCCTTCTTCAAGGCTGCAACTTGAAAAACGAACGAGTGCTCGTCAAGACATTGGCTGCAGCACCAGCCTGTGTTCACAAATTTCGCTTTTTTTAAGAGCCTCTCTTGCGCAGCGCCAAACCCACCACGTTTTTGTTTTTGTTTTACTCGGACTACGTTGCTCACACTTTCACGTGATCTGATCATAAAAAGAGAGATCGATTAGTCGATTGTCTTTGTTATTACACCATGAAGCATAAGAAAAACATCCACTTGTTTTTCTCATACCTTGTGGTTGATAACGAAGGACGGTTTTCGGAGGCGGCACATTAGGTCATGGATGTAGGCACAACTTTTGAAAGAGACAAATATTTAAAAGGAAGTCCGACTGCTCTTTATTTTTTCATTATAGTGGTCTATCAGATTTCATCTAATCACTTGCACATGTTGCTAAGATGCGCGTGACTGGCAAGATGATAACACCGCACAGGTTGCCCGGAAAATTGCATTTTAAGGTCGGCAGTTTTGTGAGCGGCATTGGAGTGTTGCCAAAGTAGAAAAAAATCATGCGGTGGTCAAAGTCAAACTATATAAATCCATGCAAAAGCAACAATTTCGACACCCAACACATGAGCATTTGTTTTCTTGCAAAGACTGCAAAATGAAAGAAGCTTATTTTTTTTCATTACAAGCTCGAAAGTGATTGTGGTTTGTCTACTGCAAGAGAGTGAACGGACGGTTGAAGTACAAAAAATGGGTCATTTCTCGTTGAACTTGGTCGCGAGCAACAAGAGCACATCGCCAGGTATACGCAGAAACCTTTCCTCAGAATCGGCAATGAGCACATGGGAATGATACGAGAAAAGTTAGGTTTAGTTTGCACTTATGGCGTAAGGGTACATGTACAGCGGAGCGGATGAACACCTATAGATATAGCCCTATCGTTTCGAGGTTTTGTTAAGGTGTTGCTAAATTTATCAACGCTACCTTAGCTTATTGCGAAGTATTGCTAAGTTATACTATGTACGGCGAAGTTATCTCAGCTGCATCGTTATCACGTTCAGCTATCTTCATACTGCTGCTAACGATTGGTCGTTTGCGCGCTGAGCTATAGAAAAAACGAATACAGCATGTTTTCCGTCGGCACGGTCACCGGCCGTCCGGCTCATGACGTCACCTGAAGCGGGCGCCTATTGGTAGATGCTCGTGTGCATCCGTCTTTGAGGGGAAACTGTAGCTGCCCTCTAATTTTGTGCCCGACTAGTCAGTTTGCTACGCGGCTCCGTAGCCGTATCCTAGAGGAAGCAGCCCAATTAAAATACAAATTGACTTCACCATAGCCATGACAAAGATTAGCCTGAATTATAAATCAAACTTTTCCTGGATGGGCACGGCCTCCCGTAACGCGTGACAGCCCGGGAGTGGCCTGTCTGTAGGCGGCCGTAACGGGGTTGCTGATGATTGATTTGTGGGGTTTAACGTCCCAAAACCACGCTATGATTATGAGAGACGCCGTAGTGGAGGGCTCCGGAAATTTCGACCACCTGGGGTTCTTTAACGTGCACCCAAATATGAGTACACGGGCCTACAACATTTCCGCCTCCATCGGAAATGCAGTCGCCACAGCCGGGATTTGATCCCGCGACCTGCGGGTCAGCAGCCGAGTACCTTAGCCACTAGACCACCGTGGCGGGGCGTAACGAGGTTGCTGAATAACGATTAATTTGTACGCTATGAGTGTGCTGCGCAGCCATATTATCTGTACTATTTCTTACTACTAGAAATAGAAAAACGGGCAATAAGACATCCATTCAAGTAAGCGACCTTTACACGCAAATTACAAACAGCACTGGAATCGAACTCTGGATCACATGCATACGAAGCAGACAGATTAACGATTGCACGACAACGCCACCGCATGACAGATCGTTTTTGCGCGGTAGTATATATCTACGAAGTGTCCTGTTCTGTTCTAACTGTTTTGCTGTGGAAAGGTTGAGGTTCATATTGCCTCGGCTACTCCATATCAAGAAGTTCTGCAGCGAAACAAAAAGAATGATACTGAACGGTACCCCAAAATGAACAATTCTAAAAAAATAGCACACTGAAACCATTTCAAATCTCATGCCAATGCACAGTTTGCTTGTCGCAGTTCACACTGTCATAAACTGTTCACACGCACACCTTCCTTTTCTACCGTCAGTATATGCACTAACGCATTTCATATATATCAATCCCTGGCTGTCTAACACAGGCGCTTACCCAGTCCGGTCTCCACTAAAAAGTCTGTAAGGAAGAAGTTCGCCTTTTTTTGAAGATGCTTCTCCTGCCATGACCTGAGTAATTTCCTTAATGTGAGGGGCCGTGTGTCCAAACTTGCTAATTTGTTCCTTAATTTTTCTCTTTCATTCCCGTATTTAACGCACTCCAAAAGAAAGTCCGAACATTTTCTTCTGCATGACCATAATGGCAAGTGGTTTGCAAACTGTCGATGGAAGGTAGAACTTATTTTTTTGTGGCATATGCATGTGTTTGAGCGTGTGTTAGGTCAGCTAATCGTTTGCAGTGCCTCATGAACTTGAGACAACCACAATAAGGGTCTTCGGATACGACTTCGGTACAGGGGTGAATCCAGTCACTTATTTTAGGAAGGGCGGTCGCCTGAACTAACGTTAGAGGAAGGGACATGGTCAGAATTTTTTTTTGTTTTGAGTTGCAGAAAAACACCTTCATAGCATAATTACTTTTAATGTGAGCTCACTGCGCTTTTCATCATTTTTCCTAAATCTTGATAGGAAATAGACTACAATCATTGAAGTGGGGGGGCTACTGACACAGAATTTGGTGGGGGAGGGCAAACGCCCCCCTCTGATCTGCCACTGCTTGTGTACGTGGCGCGCCGTGTTATAAGAACAATTAAGGTGCGTTATGCGTCGTTTTAGTGCTTCTTTCTCAACCGTGGATGTTTCACTGACCGAATAAACGCGGATACCAGCATGACGGGGATATCTTCAGCTCTTGAAGCCAAAGTACGTTTCTCCCAAGTGCGTGTGCTGTGAGTAGTTCGTTTCTCGAGGTACACACATGTCAGTGACGGCAGTTCACTCTCATCTGTTCGAAGGCAATCTTTTTTCGCCCGTTAACGTTACATGGGTAATACAGCGTACCTACACTAACATTTCAATTTCATGCGCGTGAGTAATTGTGAGCTGTACGCTTGGGCGGCCGCACTGTTTTAGTATTTCGACGATCATGTATTTTTCCAAAGGCATTTATGCACGACATTTTGCAATATCGGTGGTTTTTTCAGTCTTTAACTTATATAAGGGGCGTGGCTACCCTTATCTTCATTCAGCATCACATCGCTGGTCAAGTGATTGCCAAAATGTGCGCCAACGTCAAATATGACGTCCACAAACTACAGATAGACAGGTTGCCTTTCAAATCAATAGTTTATGCTTTTGCGCATCTCTTTCGAGAACAACTGCGTGCAGTTAGGGGCAAGAGATGGTGCAGAACGAATCTAAAAATCTTTATTGTTAGTGCGTGGCTTAATAAAGAAGCAGTTGCTTTTTTTAAGAAAAAGTAAATCTTTTTTTTTTATAGCTGGTACATTACTTCTACTGCACTAAACCGGTACACAGGTTGGTTTGATCGTTGTACAATCTCACAAATGCTGAGCTTGAATACAAGAATAAAGAGTGAGAAATTGTCACTCGCTTGCACTCTCCAGCTGACTTCTGCGTGCACCTTGTACAATTTCATCATTCAATTACGCAATCATTGCAATCATTCATAAAACATGAAACCACTAACATTCAATGTTGAACACTTTCTGTCTCTCTGCTTTCCGTTTATTTCTTCAGAGCAATGCTTTCCAAGAAGCATATGTTCAAGTAGTTTTGTTGAACATGAGCCTTAACATTTACAGGTCTGTGTATCAGGTGTTGTACAAGCGAAAGTACTCTTTTTTTATCAGTTGTCATACCTTGACAACTGATAAAACGAATGTTGTTTGTAGTCTTTAATTCAACTCAAAACACAAACACTCACACTGCGTTAGTACCAGAGTTTGCCCGAATGTGACGAGATGTCTGATATCTTGAACAAAGTGTGCCGTAGGGCACTGGACGAAGTTACCATCGTAGTCCACCTTGTAAACAAAAAAAAACAGCTGGGCCAATTACTCTTGCTGCGTTGCCAGAACAGTCTTCCTGAAAAGGATATCAAACAAAGACGTCCATGAGGCTTCCAGCATTCATGAGATTGAATGTTTTAGTCAAACCTCTGGCTCGGCTTTTTTTACTGCATGCTTATTTTTTAAAAACACATTTTAAAATGCGAAATTAGCATGTTGCTGCTGAGAATCATGCCGAGTTTTGCACGTTTGAGCAAAGCGTAGAACACACACACACACACACACTGTTGTTCTCGTGATATCTACATAACAATGGCAAAGAAAAACAGGGCAGGTTAGCTAGTTCATGTTATTACCGTGTCTTAACACAAGCCTAAAAAACAATAGATGATGGCTGCTATGCGCTACTGGTCATTATTGTATGAAAAGTGCTTTTCTGAAAAAAAATGATAATTCATTCTTCCTCAAAACTTTCTGCAAGTTCTGCCTAGTAGCCTAAATTTGTGGCTAGATGATACAAAACTGATGTTTAACGTAACGGGCATACTAAAGTGGATAGTTTTCATTCGTTACTGTGTATTTAAATAAAACTCTGCGAATGCTATTGCAGAACCTCACTATTCTCAATAGTGTTTCAATCCGTCACAGCTAAGCCTATATAGGTGTACTTAAAACCTGCCTGTGTGCCAGATGCCACGTCGATGGCCGTTCGTAGAATGTTAGTACTGTCTTCACAGTAGCGCGGCTTATTAAATGATTTTTTTTATCCAGCAGCCGTGACAGTATAGTCTTCCTACGCGCATCAGGCACTTTGCATCGTTTCTATGTGCGCCTCATGTCTTTCTGATTATTTTTGCTTTTCATTGCACTCACTACCACACACTGTGCAGGACCACACCCGCAAGTGGCCGAGCGGCGATGTGGACGAGCAAGCAGAAGACAGAAGCATTACTTACCGTTCGATGTCCGGATTGCACCGAGGACGCAGTGTGCGCATCATGTGGCTTGGTAGTCGCGGCGGTAGGCTCGCTGGAGGCCAGTGGCCTTCACGAAACGAACGCACTTGCAGTACCGCAAAGCGCAGTTCTTGCCCAGTCGAGAACACCGTCAAGCTAATAGCACAAAACACGCAAACATGGTTAAAGACGCCGAGCGAACTAGAAACGATCGCAAGGCAGCGGGACGAAAGGCCAACGCATATGATCCGCGTTGAACGCGTGCGCGTTAGCTGATATCGGCTCCAGGTGGCGGTGGTAAGGTAGCGTCTACTTGCCCCCCTCCCCCCCCCCCGCCTTTTATTTTTCAGCGCTTGCGCCCGCCGCTGAACGCTGGTGCATCAGGTTATGTCAGCTCCTCATGCTGGTGCTGGAGAGACAGCGGTGACTATCTGCTTTATTTTCTTTCTTCCGCGCTTGCGTCTGCTGTGCATGCGTCGTGAAGCTATTATGTCACGAACCACTGCTGTTAGAACCCTTTAGGCAGTACTCCTGCACCGCGTGGCTGTATTTTTCTTTTCGCTGGGCTTTCACAAACTGAATTTTAGTCAGTACGTAGGAACGGGGCACCTCTATGCCGTCCGTTATCCGGCACCTGACTGACAGTGTAGTGTTGTCAAGTGTTGCGAGGTGACGACCAGATCCACCGAATCCCCCTCCGTCATTCTAAGCCAGCCTTAAGTCTTGGTAGTCGCTCCCGAATCAGAGACGAGCGCAGTGTTGCTTGTTGGTATCCAGTAGTCCTCAGATTCAGGCCAGGACCCACTATATGCCAATAAGCTCTGCTGTACGTGTCTCCAGCCTTGCGCCATCAGTGCAAGCCACACGCAGTTTCCTTGAGTTAAGTCTCAGGCTTTGCCTCGCAAGACCAGTGAGACTAGCGAGCACGAAGTTATGCACAGATGTTCTGGGGGTTGCACTGCAACACGAGGTGGCGTCACCACTCCCCCAGGTTCTTTTTCTACGACGGACGCTATACCACTCGGCGCAAAAAGCTCCACTGTTAAAATATATTCACCCCAAAAAGCAAAGTGATTGGGCGGACTTTGCCCTAATACTTCATCGTGATCTTGCAACTCCCGTTTCATACCTAAGATATGTTGGTCGTAATTTCATTGATCTCGCGAGAACATGAAAGTTTTAGTCAAAACATTTAACAAAACTGGTTGAGACACGCTGTAGGAACCTCAAGGCTACAATTTGAAGTGAACTATTTTCTGTGTTACCATAATGCATTGTGGTAATTATGTTATAATGAACACAGTGTAAGACAACATTCGTGTTCACAACTTCTGAAAGTACAAGTGAGCCCGTTATTCTCAACGTTTCTCACCTTTTGCGGGTCAACGCTTGCGTAAACAATGACCTCAAAACTTTATTTCTTTATCCAAAAAATTGACAGCCCCTACTTCTGAATATTTATTCGTTACCTTTGCGCAAAGAATTCCTAGGCTTTAATATAAATAGTGCATCTGATGCAAGCTTATAGCGTTATCCTTGTATTGTCCAACACATACTCACTCAAATACCACTCAAACTGGCACACACAACCAACCAATCTGTCTGGTCAATCTTGTTGTGACCTGTATCTCGTTTTCTTCTTGTTGCTGTTGTTGTTGTTGCTGTTGTTGTTGTTGTTGAAAGTGTATCTCGTTTCAAAGACTGCATCAGAAAGCCGATGCTGGAAAGTTCCCAAACCGGATTAATACTGGCCTTTAGGGCACCGTGCGTAATTCAACGCCTTTAATAGCAGGGCAAACAACAGCAACAAACTCCTTGCTGAGTTAAACCACGCGATTGACGGGTGCACAAATGTGGACACACAGCCGTCAGCACCTTTAACTAGAATGCTCCGACGCGTGCCATCGGCTCACTCGGACTGAGGTCAGCACCTCTAAGCGTTGAAAACGGTATGCTTGCAGCAGTTAATGATATATGGAGTACTCATTGGTTTCGCTAGTTAATTTCTGTTTCCAGTCTGCCTGAACGGCGGGTCGAATGCACTCACTTGGCATCTCGTTTTCGCCACGTTTTGTTCGGTCCTGCGTTATCGCGCGCGCTCATGGCGTTCGTTATCGTAGACTTATCTCGACAATGAACCATCGCGTGCGACAGCTTACGCACATTACAAGTTTGAATTTGCAGCTGCTGCTAAAAAAAAAATCACCTGCGTAAAAGCAGATAAAACGCACGCTCATGGTGTTTGCTAAAGCTGCACAATAAATAAATCTGAAATGCGATGTTATTGTTCATGTTATGTCTCATTAATTTTCAGACAACGAGAATGAACAGTTCTCGCAATTTAGTGCGTGCCTTCCTGTAATGTTCACGTTGCACAGAAGGTGTGGTCTTGGAGCGCAAGGTTTCTGCGTGTAACAATGTCTGGGGTTCAACGTGGCTAGGGTTCAACGTTCTATGTGATAACTACGCAAGAAAATTCTTTTGTTTGCGTTATATTCATGCGTGTTCATTGCTGAGAACATACATAAGCATTCTGCTTCAAGCCCACATCTTCCGTGTAGCGTGAACCGAACTGGAAGGCACACTCTAAATTGCGACAACAGTTCAATTCACGCTCTCTGAAAATTAATGAGTCAAAAAATTAACAGCGCCCCACTGCGGTAGTCTAGTGGCTAAAGTATTTGGCTGGTGACCTGCAGGTAGCAGGATCGAATGCAGAGGCGAAAATGCTGTAGGCCCGTGTGCTCGGATTTGTCTGCACGTTCAAGAACCCCAGGTGGTCAACGTTTCCGGAGACCTCCACTACTGCGTCTCTCATAATTATGTCTTGGTTTTGGCATGCTGAATCCCACATATCAATCAATCAATAATAACATGAACAACGCCACCGCTTTTGAGAATTATTCATTGTGCGATTTTTACAAACGCCATGAACGTGCGCTGCGGTTTGCTCTGCTTTTTATACTTGTGATTTCGTTTGAGCAACAGCTGCAAATTCAAACTCGAAAGGTGCGTAAGCTGTCGCATGCAATGGTTCATTGTCAGGATAATTATAAAACAACCTATGCCATGGGGCGTGCGTGATAACGTAGGCACAAGCCCAACGTGGCAAAAACGGGATGTCAACTGAGTGCATTCGAGCCACCGGTCGGGCAGACTGGAAACAGAAATTTACACGGGAAACCAACGCTTGTCCTATGGATCGTTAAGTGATTGATTTGATTCATGTGTGGGGTTTAACGTCCCAAAACCACCATACAATTATGAGAGACACCATAGTGGAGGGCTCCGGAAATTTAGACCACGTGGGTTTTTTTAACGTGCACCCAAATCTGAGCACGCGGGCCTACAACATTTCCGCCTCCATCGAAAATGCAGTCGCCGCAGCCGGGCTTTGATCCCGCGACCTGCGGGTCAGCAGCCGAGTACCTTAGCCACTAGACCACCACGGCGGGGCCTTAGTGGCGCTGACCACAGTTCTAGCTAGTGGAGGTCACGCGTAGGAGCGTTTAAGTTGAAGGTGCTGGCGGCTGTACGAATGGTGTCACAGGATACTGTGCGTGTGCGACCAGACCACACTGCATATGTCTTCGAAGAACCCGCTTTGAAATTCCTGCTAGCCATATCATGGCAACAACATTAAGATACATGAACTAGTTGAAGTATATAATTGAAAAAAAATATATTCAAGGGCGTGAATTGCGTAATTATTGCACGTCTGCTGCAGGTATAGCGCCTTAAACGAAGAGCTCATTTGCCGTTGTTTGCATTCTTACAAATGAAAACCAATCATCTTGGAGCACACCGGGATTCTTTAAAAACATTCTGGAGAATGCAATCTTCTGCCATGAAAAGCAGGCCCTCTAAAACAAACTTAGCAGAGCTTGGCGATTGGCTAATGAAGTATGGAGGTTGACAGAGGCTTAGAGAACATACACTGTCGTTGCCAATTTGGCACGTTTCCACTTCATCGAGACTTGCTCTTGAGAAAGCCTTCAGGGGAGAGAGAGAGAGGGGTAAATGTGAAAAGGAAGAGTAGGAGTGCTAACCAGTCAACTGCAGCTTTTTCGCCTTCATGCTGGTAAGAAGAAAAGGAATCGCAGGGATCAAAATATTGAGACTGAACACCGTTTTTATGCTTCACCGTACAGATGATATTTACTTGAGGCGTTGCGATTGAAAAGGTGTGCTACACTAGTTGCTGCTTGCTGCAGTGACAATTGTGGTATACGGTACAAGTATTCTCGAATGCGATGGTAGTCGCGAGTCCAACCAGTTAACAATTGTCTTTAAAAAAAGTGGCGATGGACGTTCAAGTGAGGGCTTGTTGCGGATTTGTATTTATACATATACGCAAGAGCTGCTGAACGATTTCCTCGCACGCAAAGGAGTTGAATGTTGGGCTATCGGGCCAATAAAATGCATTGAATGTACGATAAAAGAAGTGTTCGTAGACAGAACGCTTAGCTATAAGCTCAACCGAAATATGGCATCAAATTAAGAGACGCTACATAGCAATTTTTCTTATATATAGCGATGGTATAGCTTATTCCGCCAGCAATCAGAGATGCTCGGAGAATTTCGAAACACTGGCGTCGTTTTACAGTTGAGCAAACTGGGTTAAGTCACAGCGTTTGTCCTCGCGAAAGTATATAGGGGAAGCTTGCGCATGTTGGGGGATAAGGGAGGTGGTGGAAGGGAAGGGTTCGTACCAGGCAGTTTTTTTAGCAAAGCCCTTGCCCAATATATCGCAGTGAGTTGTGAGGTGAGGTAACTGATATTGATTTTGTTTTTGTTTTTTCAGTGTACGACGGGATAATCGCCCAACGCCGTATACCATATGCTCCACGGCATGCCGAAATTTACGTCCCCGGGAATGGCATCACTGCGAAAACGAATAGGTATAAATACCTCGGCAAAAAGCTGGCCGAATCGAGGCCATGTCACTAACAAAAAATCAGGCGCGTTGTCCTTATAAGAGAAAGAAATATTTAATTTCCAGCGAAGTTCGAGAGGTGCACTGTACTGTGCTGTTGTGCAATGGATGATGCAACGAATAATAATTAGGATAAAAATAGAATGAATCAGGCGTCATGCTAGCATTTCACCGAAGCCTTCGTGGCCTGTCTTACAATTACACGGTCACACAATGAGCCGAGAAGAGAATAGCGCCGTCTTAAAGTCGAATAATGCACTGCTTTGAACCG